GGGGGGGGGGGAGATATAGGAGTAATGATAGCATGTATTTCCTTCTACTCTGTGCCCAGCATTGCAATGTTGAGTTGCAGTCAATAAATAAGATTCTTCTAGCCACAATTCCTTAAGTCTGTGTAATTCTGGGCTCTACACCTATGGATATAACCCCATTTGGGAGGGTGTTACCTACTATACTAATGAACAGGATCCGGGTGAGTTTATGACCTGATTTTAGTTGTTTTTCTTGTTGTTGTTATTGTTGTTGTTAGGTGTTATTGAGTCTGTTCCAATCCCATAGTGAACCTTATGCACAACAGAAAGGGACACTGCCCGGTGTGCTGCCATCTTCACTAATAGTTCCTCTGCTTGAGCCATTGTTGCAGCCGGGGTGTCCATCCACCTCCTTGATGCCCTCCTCCCTTTTGCTGCCACTCCACTTTACCAAACATGATGTCCTTCCCCAGGGACTTGTCTCTCCTGACACCATGTCCAAGGAATGCGAGAACAAGGCCCACCAACCTGGCCTCTAAGGAACACTCTGACCTTACTTCTTCCAAGACAGATCAGTTTGTCCGTTTAGCAGTCTGTAGTACTTTCAACATTCTTCTCCAGCACCACATTCAAATACATCCATTCTTCTTTGGTCTTCTTTATTCCGTGTCCAAGGTGCACATGCATATGAGGCATTTGAAGATATCATGGCTTACCAGGCATACCTTGGTGCTCAAAGTAGTATCTTTGTCTTTCATACTCTAAAGAAGTCTCTTGTGCAGCAGGTTTACTTAATGCAACACATCTTTTGATCTCTTGACTGCTGCTTCCATGAGCATTGATTGAGGATCTAAGCAAGACAAAATAATTGACAACTTCATTCTTTTCTACATTCGTCAAGATGTTACCTATCGGCCTAGTTGTGAGGATTTGGGTTGTCTTTACATTGAGTTGTAATCCATATTGAAGGCTGAAATCCTTAACCTTTATTAGCAAGTGCTTCAAGTCCCCCTAGCTTTTAGCGAGCAAGGTTATGCCATGTGCATATCACAGGTTGTCAATAAGCCTTCCTCTGATCCTGATGCTACATTCTTCTATACATAAGCACGCTCTGCTAATTATTTGCTCAGTATACAGACTGAACAAGTATGGCGAGGGGACACAACCCTGACACACACCTTTCCTGATGTCAATCCATGCAGTATTCCCTCATTCTTTCCCAAAACTGCCCTCTGATCAATGGACAAGCTCCGCAGGAGCACAATGGAGTGTTCTGGAGCTCCTACTCTTCTCAAGTTTTCCACAGTTTTTCATGAGCGACACAGTCAAATGCCTTGGCATAATCAACAAAACCCAAGCAAACATGTTACTGGTATTCTCTGCTTTGAGCCAAGATCCATCTGGCATCAGCAATGATACCCCTAGTGCTGTGTCCTGCTCTGAGTCGGGCCTGAACTTCTTCAGCTATTGAATCTCGGGGGGAATGTATCCCCATAGAGCTGAAGATAACAGCTGAGAATAGGGAGAAGCTAGGAAAGGAAGGTCATGCTTTCAAGGCCTAGTATAGAAAACCCAGTAATCTTAATAAAATACAGGCCATCGGATTTGGTTATGACATCGATTCTTCTATCGATGTAACAATGTTTTTGCTTATACTTATAAGCACCTTTGTTAGGATCATTTCATGTAACATCACCCTGTCAATCATTATATTCCTAAAGACAAAACTACAACTCATTTTAGGCTGGCTTACTTAAAAACAGAAGACACAGGGTCACCTGAAAAGATCACTGTGTCCTGTCGAACTAGCACAGTTTGACAATTCCAACTATGGAATATTTGGAAAGGATTAGAGTTGCTGAGCATCATAACCATCTTTGTTGTACTTTCGTGGAGCTTGTGCTGTGCAGATGGCATAATCTTTAGTGGAGATGTCCATGTGCTTCTACACCGTTGTTGGATGATCTTCGGCAAAATTTTACTCGCATGTGATATCAATGATATTGTTCTATAATTTGAGCATTCTGTTGGGCCAGTTTTCTTTGGAATGGGCACAAATGGGATCTCTTTAAGTCAGTTGACCAACTAGCTGCCTTCCAAGTTTCCTAGTATAGATGCATGAGTGCTTCCAGTGTTTCATCAGCTTGTTGAAACATGTCAATTGGTATGCCATCAGTTCCTGGGGCCTTGTTTTTGGCTAATACTTTCAGTGAAACTTGAACTTCTACCTTCCTCACCAATTGTTCTTGCTCATTTGCTACCTCCTGAAATGGTGGACTGTCAAGTAGTTCTTTCTGGTACGGTGACTCTGTGTAGGTATTCTTTCCATCTTCTTTGGATGATTTCTGTGCCATTTAATATTTTGCCCATAAACTGTTTCAATATTGAAACCAAAGCTGGACGTTTTTCATCAGTACTTTCAGTTTAAGATATGCGTGTATTCTTCCTTTAGTTTTCTAATTCTAGGTCTGTGCACATTTCACGATAATATTTGGCTTTGGCTTCTCAAGCTGCCCTTTGAAATTCTCTATTCAGCTCTTTGACATCATCGTTGCCTCCATTTGCTTGAGATACTCTATGATTACGAGCAGTAGCAGAGCTGAAAAACCAGGTCAGAGTTGTTTCCTTGGGGGCATCTTTATGCTCGATCTTAGCCAAGAGTGTGAATAAAGCCACATTCTGTGGCATCTTTCCATTTGACAAGAGACTAAGATCTCATCCTTCTTTTTCTTTGGGGTATGGCTGGCTGGAAGACAAATCACACCTCTCTGAAAGCTTTTCTCCCTAAGTCAGAGCTCTCTGTCCCACAGAGGAAAAGATCAGGACGGTCTGGGAGGGCATGTCCAAGACCTCTGTCTGAAGAGGCCAGAGCTGTTGAGGCCAGACGCCCTAGAAATGCTGATTCAGAGATTTGCAGGAGCAGCTCCGAGACAGGGTATCTCCTCCTCCTCTGGCCCAAGACTATGGACCTGTAGGACAAAGTGAGGGGTGGGATGGCCTACTGGCCCATGGAGGCAAAGTGGCTGAAAGGCTCCAGGCTGAGAAGACCAATGACTCTATGCTTACTGTTTGCTGATCCAGACTTGGGGAAATAGTTAACTTCCTAATAACTCCCCTCAATCATTAGTATTGTCTGTGACTTCTATGTGGTCATTGCAATGAATTATCAAACCTATAAAAGTAGAGTGCCATGGGAGGAATGATTGGAGTCAAAATAAGGTAAAGAAAAGTGGAGGGTAACCACATCAGGGTGAAATACTAAGGGTATGTAACTGAGCAGCAAGGGGAGCAAAATAATGAAGCCCCCAAGGTATACCAAAAACAGATTATGGGTCCAGAGCATGTCACCCCATCAGACTAGACCAGAAAACACTCAACAAACAGACCTGGAACTATTTATAGGCTTTTCTTTTTTGTTGTTGTTATCTTTTGCTTTGTTTTGTTTTTGTGCTTACTATAGTTTTTGCATGTCTATCTAGATAAGATAGGTGGGATAAACCATCCGGAGAAGAAAACAGCAGGACCAGCAGTTCCAGGGGGGGCACAGGATGAGAGGTGGGGAAAGGAAAAGGGGGTGCAAACAAACCCAGAGACAAGGAACAGAGATCTAAAATCAATGGTGAGGAGGGCATACATTGAACAAGTGCAATGTAGCCAAGAGGAATTACTGAGACCTGAATGAAGGCCGAACATGATAGTGAGACAAGAGGAAACTAAAAGGAAATAGAAGAAAGACTAGGAAGCAAAGGACATTATAGAGGTCTAAATATAGGCATGTACATAGGTAAAGATATGTATATATAATGATAGGAAACAGATCTATGTCCATATATTTACATGTTAAGTATTAAGGTAGCAGACGGATATTAGTACTCACGGATATTTACTCAAGTACTCCCTCAATGCAAGAACACTTTGTTCTAATAACCTGGCATTCTGAGATGCTCACCTTCCCCACAGGATCATTAAAGACACAATGGGTACATAAGCAAATGTGGTGAAGAAAGCTGATGGTGCCTGGCTATCAAAAGATAAACCATGTGGGATCTTAAAGGCTTGAAAATAAACAAGAGGCCATCTACCTGAGGAACAACAAAGCCCACATGGAAGAAACACACCAGCCTGTTGTGATCATGAGGTGTCAATGTGATCAGGTATCAGGCATCAAAGACCCAGACAAAAAAAAATGATATCTATGTGAATGAGGGGGATGGCAGAATGGAGACCCAAAGCCCATCTGTCGACAACTGGACATCCCCTTACAGAAAGGACACAAGGAAGAGACAAGCCAGTCAGAGTACAATATAGCACTAATTAAACATAAAACTTTCCTTTAGTTCATTAGTGCTTCCTCCCCCACCTTACCCCCACTATCATGACTCCAATTCTTCTTTATAAATCCCGCTAGACCAAAGCATGTACACTGGTACAGATAAGAGCTGGAAACACAGGGAATCCAGGACAGATAAACCCCTCAGGACCAATAATGAGAGTAGCAATACCAGGAGGGGGAGGGGAAGGTGGGGATAGAAAGGGTAGAACTGATCACAATGATCGATCTATAACCCCCTCACAGGGGGACAAACAACAGAGAAGTGGGTGACAGGAGACAGCAGTTGGTGTAAGATATGAAAAAAAAATTATAAATTATCAAGGGCTCTTGGGCGGTGGGGGCTGAGCTGATACCAAGGGCTCAAGTAAAAAGAAAATGTTTTGAAAATGATGATGGCAACATATGTACAAATGTGCTTGACACAATGGATGTCTGCATGGATTGTGATAAGAGCCCCCAATAAAATGATTTTTTTTTAAGTGGCAATAGGGAAGTCAAAGGAGGTGAGGACTAGCCACCCCCATTATCATTCACTGTAAATCAGTCCTCCTAAATGAATAAGTATTGGAGAATTCTATCATTTTTAACAAGGATAAAGTTGTTGCTACCCAAGAAAGGTTTAGCCTCAAAGCAGCAACACTTGTGTGAAGCTGTAGTTTGTTCACAGCAGCTAAGGAAGCCTGGCCTTTCATCCTGTCATGGGGACACTCTCTCCAGATTAATGAACCACTGCTAACTTCACAACTGCACAGAAGCCCAGGTGCGTACCTCCATCGCTGCTACTCTGTGAGTCGCACCTTGCTTAGTTCCTGTAAAAGCGTGCTTGTTCTCAAACCAAAATGAAGAAATGTATCAGAGGGTGATAGGAAGGCCAAGTAGGAACAAAAGGTGAGAGCGAGGGGAGGGGAGGAAGACCAGGAAAGGGGGCAGAGAGAGAGAGAAGGGCAGCGGAGAAGGAAACATCAGAGCAGCATAGAAATGGAAAAAGCAGAAAACTACTCGCGGCTGCCAGAAATAAGAAGTATATCCAGTGGTATGATAATAAACATTAACTTCCCCCACAAAATAAGCATTTAAATTCCCCCACGAAAAGATAAAAGAGCACTAAGCCAGAGAAAATATGAGACAAACGTAGAAATCCTAAACCTTAAGTGAAAGAGAGCCAGGCTGCAGGAGCTGAGAGAATCCCTGGGGACAATGAAGAAAAAGAAAAAGTCAACAACAGTGAAACAGGTTTTCTGTGAGTGTAAGAATGGGATGAAGACTCACTCACTCACTCACTGTCTCACTCACTCACTCACTGACTCACTGTCTCACTCACTCACTCACTGTCTCACTCACTCACTCACTCACTCACTGTCTCACTCACTCACTGTCTCACTTACTCACTCACTCACTCACTGTCTCACTCACTCTCTCACTCACTCACTCACTCACTCACTGTCTCACTCACTCACTCACTCACTCACTGTCTCACTTACTCACTCACTCACTCACTGTCTCACTTACTCACTCACTCACTCACTGTCTCACTCACTCACTCACTGTCTCACTCACTCACTCACTGACTCACTGTCTCACTCACTCACTCACTGTCTCACTTACTCACTCACTCACTCACTGTCTCACTTACTCACTCACTCACTCACTGTCTCACTCACTCACTCACTCACTCACTGTCTCACTCACTCACTCACTCACTCACTGTCTCACTCACTCACTCACTGTCTCACTCACTCACTCTCTCACTCACTCACTGTCTCACTCACTCACTCACTCACTCACTGTCTCACTCACTCACTCACTGTCTCACTCACTCACTCACTGTCTCACTCACTCACTCACTCACTCCACTCACTCACTCACTGACTCACTCACTCACTCAGTCAGTCACTCACTCCACTCACTCACTCACTGACTCACTCACTCACTCCACTCACTCACTCACTGACTCACTCACTCACTCAGTCACTCACTCCACTCACTCACTCGACTCACTAACTCACTCAGTCACTCAGTCACTCACTCACTCCACTCACTCACTCACTCACTCATTCTCTCACTCCACTCACTCAGTCACTCAGTCCACTCACTCACTCACTGACTCACTCACTTAGTCACTCACTCACTCACTCTCTCTCTCACTCACTCACTCACTCTCTCACTCACTCACTCACTCACTCACTCTCTCACTCACTCACTCACTCACTCACTCTCTCACTCACTGACTCACTCACTCACTCACTCACTCACTCTCTCAGTCACTCACTCAGTCACTCACTCTCTCACTCACTCACTCACTCACTCCACTCACTGACTCACTCTCTCACTCACTGACTCACTCAGTCACTCACTCAGTCACTCAGTCAGTCAGTCACTCACTCACTGACTCACTCACTATCTCACTCACTCCACTCACTCACTCACTGACTCACTCACTGACTCACTCTCTCAGTCACTCAGTCAGTCAGTCACTCACTCACTCACTGACTCACTCACTCTCTCACTCACTCAGTCACTCATTCTCTCACTCACTCACTCACGCTCTCAGTCACTCACTGTCTCACTCACTCACTCAGTCACTCCACTCACTGACCCACTCTCACTCACTCACTGACTCACTCTCTCACTCACTCACTGACTCACAAAAAAAAGAGAGAGAAAAAAATAAGAATGGGATGAAGGACGTGCTTGCTTTCCATTAGAATTCTGGAATGATTTAGTACTTGAAAAGATGTAAAGTATCGTTCTGTTTGAGAGTAAATATTAAATAATAAACAGGGGTAAAAGAGGTAAGTGAACGTGACAGCTCAAGGTACAAATAAAAATGTGGACAAGTGCACAGATGCCGTGAAAAACCACCACACAACCGCACCGCTTGAGTACTGCTGGACAGGGCAGAGCTGCCTCCGTGGCTCCCAGAGACGGTGGCGCTTTATAGGACTAGAAGCCCAGTCTTTCTCCCTCAGGATTCTGGAAAAGCCGGTGTTTTCCTCTTTGGAGGTGGGAGACCCTCGAGGCTCACACCCTGGGAGACATAGCAGCTGACAAGACGCATGGACCCGCCCTGATGCAGAGACCCCTGCCAGCGCTGAGATGTTTCCAACGACACCGGATCCAAAGACTTTCTACCCACTGGCCTGTGATCTGCATTCGGTGTCATTACATGTGTTTCATGAGTCTGAACAGGACTTTATAGATTGGTATTAAACATATGGGCTAATATCAGACTTATGGACCTGATCTGGACTGGGCTGGGATGTTTTCTCAATTTTCAATTGCACTTGTATATAAACCTCTTTCTTATACACATATGTGTGTGCATGGATTGGTTCTCTAGTCTACCCAGATTAGCAGAGTGGGTTTGGACTGCTGACTGTGCAGTTAGCAGCCCAACTCATAACCACTACCCCACCAGGGCTCTCACACAACAAAAGTCACCATCTGTGTGTGTGTGTACACATATATACACACGTATACATACAGGGAAATTAGCAGATGCAATACTGAAATAAAACAAAGTGAATTCAAGACAAACCATAAGAAAATCATGTTGAAGTGGTTGAAGGACAGCCTCTAGGAAGACATAATAATCATAAATCCCATGTAGGCTATAAAGAATGAAATAAATGAAGCAAAACTTAACTGAAATATAAGAAGAGATAGAAACACAACCAAGTTGGAGACTATAAACAGCCCCTGACTTTAGCATATCAAAGCAAGTAAAAAAATATGACATGAGAATAAGAATTTTGAATAATATAGGGGATGCTATGGTGCCATGTGGTGTAGTGGTTATGCATTGCGCTGCAATCCACAAGGTCCACAGTTCGAAACCACCAGCTGCCCTGTAGGAGAAAGATGAGGCTTTCCGCTCCTGTAAAGAGTTACGGTCTCAGAAACCCACAAAGGCAGTTCCACCCTGTCCTACAGGGTCATGATGAGTCGGCATTGACGTGATGGAAGTTAGCTTGATTTGGTTTGGGTTTAAGGGGCCCTTGTGACATTGTTGGTTATGCTTTGGGACTTTAAGCACAAGGTAAGTTGTTCAAACCCACTAGCTGCTCCACAGAAAAGTGAGGATACGTGCTTCCATAAAGATTGACAGCCTCAGAAACCAGAAGTGGCCCTTCTAGTGTGTCTACAGGGTTGCTATGAGTGGGGTCCGACTCCGGACTCTGGGTGATGAGCTGAAGTTGACTTGATAGCACCCAACAGCAGTGATTATCGACGGGGGCGGGGTGTACGAGCACATATATGCCCTACACATATATGTAATATATAGAACTTACACATAACATAAACAAGGGGACTTCAAGAAGTTGGTGGACAATTCCATTATCTCTTAATACCATTTACTACTCTTTGAAGCCCTTTCATCTATACATATATATTTATGGATAATCACACACACACACACATATATACAAATTACAATAGAATACTCCTAGCAGCTAATTACAGAAGTTTTCATTACAAATCTAACCATTCAGGAAACTGTTTTCCTAAAAATTGAGGAGCGAATTTTTATGCTGAACTTCCTCCATCTTATTTTCCTCATTATCTCTTTGCACGATTTTCTCATGGGCTAGGTGTTCTACTGAAAATATGTGGTTAAATGGTCCTGCACTCTTTCCTGGACATCATCCACCCCTGCTGTTGAGTCCGTTAAGACTCACGGGGACCTTAAGAGGGTTCCTGAAGCTGTACAACTTCACAGAAGCAGACAGCCTCATCTTTCTCCTGCAGAGCAGCTGGTGGTTTTGAACCGTGGTCTTTGTGGTTAGCAGTCCAAGGCTCATCCCACTCACAGCTGAACATAAGTATATCAGTGTGTCAATGTTGACTTACCTTTTCACATATATCATTTAGAGCCCCGGCTAAGACACGGTAAGCACTGGTCTTTCCTCCAAAGGGTTCTCCAACAATCATAAAACCATGACGCACAATCATCATCTCATATATCTGAAGAATCTTCTCGGAAAAGAATGTAGTCATTTGCAAATTCATGGAGTTACAATTGTCTTTGATAGCTGTCAGCAAATCATTGTAATCTGGTTTAGGTAATTTCACCCCCGGAAACAAATCTGAAGTAATTCCCTGATGACACAAAATTTTGAGGTTTTCATTTATACACATAGCACATATACAAACATGTAAACTTTATCTTATATAATCTAATAAAATCACACAATCAGTTGATGAGACCAGAGTAGACACAGGTACATTAAGGTGACCAGATTTTAACATTGCTAAAGCGGGACACCATTGACGGGGGGTGGGGAGGGGGGTAGGGGGGATGGGGGCAGGGGGGGTGTCTTGATTAAAAATTTGGTCTTCCTGTTCTCCCGCCGCCGCTCCCTAGCTTTTTGAGCATTCTTTCCAAAAATCGGGACTTTTTTAAATGCCGCGGGACGTGGGACAAATTGTTAAAAAGCGGGACGTCTGGTCACCTTAACTGGTACCTACATGGGGAGAGGGGCGGAGGTGGGGAGAGAAAAAGTTCTAGAAGGTCATCAAGCAGCAAAGGAATGCCAAGAATTACTACTAGGCAGGAGGGAAAAGGCTCACAGAGGAACACACCCCGCTGGCATGCTGATGTGGACTTGAGAAAATATGGTTATTTCTATTCTTTAACCCTGACCACTTGTACTTCTACTATAGCAGCTCTAGGTAACAGACCCTGTTGGATAAATGCTCACTAATCAAGCACACAGCTGGACAAGAATATTGTTACTGGGCTTTATTTCCTCTTTCTACAAATGAAACTAGACTCCTGGAAAACAGGGACACTGGTACCAAGGAAATTAAGGGCAAACTTTATGAAGAAAAGTTGATCTCTCCTTATTGATTCCCACTGCTGACTCCCAGTACTAGGGAAAGCACCTTTCAGAAAGATGAGACATGGTTCTTAGGGATGGGTGATGCTATGTGTGTGAGTCTGGGTACTTTCGAGAAACAAAATCCAAAGAAACGCATGTGTAAGAGAGAGTTTTCTAGAAAGGGTAAGTGCACATCAAGAAAACATCCCAACCCAGTGCTGCCCAAGCCCACAAGTCCAACATTAGCCCATAGGTCCAACACCAATCCACAAAGTCCTCCTCCATCTCACAAAACAGATGCAATGATGCCGACTGCAGGAGGAAAGCTGAATCAGTGAATGTATAAGCATCTCAGCGCTGGCAGGGGTCTCCACCCGGCTTCTCCAGCACCCAGGGCTGCATCAGGGTAGGTCCATATGGCCTCTCCTCAGGGATGTCTTGCAGGAAATGACCCTTGCCAGCTGAAGCAGGGAACTGGCTAAAGTAGCTACACCCTAGTCCGACCATCACAAAGCAAGAGACCCGAGAACTAGAAATATGAGGCTCACAGAGCCACTTATTGCTCCACCCTTCAATTAACCCCACATGTGTTTATCGGCCAGGTTGGCACAATAAACATTAACTACCTCAATGTGGCACTATGACTCCTTTCCTAGGACACACACGACTCTCCCGTCTTTCTACAATGAGAGCTGCCTGAACGGCAAGCCTGCATCAATTAGGGCAACATCTAATACCAGCCAAAGCCCACAGCTTCTTTGGTTTCTTCTACCTGAGATGAGGAAGCAAAAAAGGATGGCAGCAAATTTCAGCCTGGAAATTTCATCATTATCCTAATACTTCCTCTAAATTACTAATCTTGAAAATGATCACACTGAATTCTTACCTTAATCTAATCCTATGAAAACCATCACATCCATTGAAAGAAATTAAGCTCATCTTTTACTTCTTCTATCATATTAGCAAAATCGTACCATATCCATTCTGTCCTAAGGAGTCGGTGCATGTGTTAGACAAATGACTTTCTGTCACAGAGCCCCCATTCCAGAACAAACAACTCGTTCCCCTGGGTCAATTCTGACTCCTGGTGACCCTGTGGGGCCCGGTTTTTGTAACTTGTGTGGGCTCACATTGGAAAGTTAAAACTGTTTAAAAATTCCAAGCTGCTGAAAGTCATCCGAAACAACATTCTCTAAACTCATGTCAAATAAAACCCGAGAGGATCCATGGTTCCCTGCACGGCATTATTATGTTAGACCGCAGAAGTCTCTCATATGCGGCATGGAAAACATGCAAACATTACTGAAGACATTATGACAAAAGCATTGACACACTGGAATTATGAATTTTCTTACCTCAAAGAGTGGTAAATCATGGGACAAAAATTTTGGTAGGTTTACATCAATAATGGATCTGAGAAGCAAAATTTCCTCATTTTCATTTGGGTATTTCAGCTAAAAGGAAATATATTCATGATCATATTTGCATCTGCTAACTGTACCTTCCCCTACCCTACCTCCCCTCCCCACCCCCATCTCTGACAAAAATACTTAGGTAATTTAAACAAATGTAAAAATATCACTCCAATTTCTTCTTATTTTCTTGGATTGCTATTAAATTTAGAAACTGACATTTATGCTTGTTGAATTTCCTGTTAGTTTCTTGTAACAACCTAAGTTGAACTAACTACCCATTCAAAAACGCTGCTAAAGAACTCTTGGCCATGTGCTCACTATAGTTTGGGAGTGGTTACTGCCGACCAGGTCAGTTGTGGCTCGGTCAACGGAAAACCATCATTCAAAGTGAGTGATCACCTAGTCTCGTGGCTGGAAAGGCTATCTCCTGACTATGAGACCAGAACTGGACGGTGCCTGGCTACCATTAACTAAATATTTTGATCAAAGATTCTAGAGATGTCTCCCATCAAAAGGGAGGAAATGCAGGGCAGAATTTCAAAATCTGCTGGTCTCGAAATTTTCTGGAGTCACGGAGGATAGATTAACCTCTGAAGCTACTGCTGGAGACAATCTTTAAACTGAACCCAAAAATATCTGTCTCCTGAAGTCCTTTTGAAGCCAAACACTACTTTAGGTTCATTAGTAACGGATGTCTGCCTTGAGCACCATGCTCTTCCAAGAACTATTTGTAGGGGAGCAGATTGACAATGGCCCCTTGAGAGATGAGCTAGGAAACTTCGAGGGCACTGCATTTATCTTAGTGGGGGAGGAACAACTCAGAGAAGGAGTGAGAGAGTAGCTGGCTGTACAACTTTGTGATGCAGTGATTTGTGAGACCTGACTCTTCCAGTCGTAGTTTTTGTACCTCCCCGCAAATGACTGAGTGGATCCAAGCAGATTGCATGTACCTCCTCTTAATGCTCATAGAATTATATGATTCCACTGTGAGTGATGGTTAACAGGGTTAATTTTGACTGTAAAAATTTAATACTCTAACACTGGGATTAATTTTCCATCCTGCGGGGTATAAAATGAGCCACCAGGGAGGCAGGGACTGGGGATTTTAGTGCCATCAAGAAAGAAGAGCCAGAAGCGGATTGTGTTCTTTGGACCCTGAACCACCTGTCCATTGACTCTCTTCAATCCCGAGACAGTAGGCTGTCATGGCAGAGCAGCAGTAGCAGCAGAGCAAAGAGCTAGAGCCCCACACGAAGCAACAGGCTTCCCAGTCTAGGGCGAAAGTAAAGCTGAAAGGCTTCTGGCCGGAGGCTTGCTGGTGAGGTGTCTCCAGGTACTTAATTGGGGTAGCTAGGGTTTTGACTGAGGCTCACAGCAGTGTGACATGCCCTTTGAGCATTTATGGGCAGCACTGTCCAAGACCAGAGAGAGTTCTGCCTGTGGGCATGACTGAGAATACCAGGCTGTCTTGAACAAAGAACTCTTACCTTGGGTATTTCTGATCCTGGATTACCCAGACTTTATTTGGGAAGTAAGGTCTGTGAGTTCTATGTGGTTACTACAATGAATGCTCCAACTCAACTGAGGAGGAGAGAGTGTGGCTGGGAGGGACAATCTGTGTCAAAATTAGCAAAGGAGCTAAGAAGGTGGAAGCAAGTCTGACCCATGCCTTGCAGCAATCGGCCTTTGGCTGATATTGAGTTTGATTCTCCTGCTCTGTTTTGAAGCCCGAGGAGGCCAGATACTGGCTCCATGCCATTTTTACAATTTAAAAATGTTACATTACTGAATTGTAGACATAGAAATTGAAGAACTGGCATTCTGCTGTGTAAAATCTCATCAATTACAAAAAAAGGAATAAATCATTTCAACATGGATACTCATAAATGTTTACTCATTTACCAGTACTGTATTACGAAGTCAAATCTTAGCTCTGACTATAAAATCAAGCGTCATTTTTTCTGACAAATGAAATGCACCATTTACTCTGCCTAGTTTTGTTGTGTATTTCCCCAACCACCACCGAAAAAGATGTTCTTACAAAAATAACACGAGAAAAGGTAACTGTAGTATCCTTCAAAAAATCCTCCCCCCCGCCCTGCCAAGTTTATCTAGACTCGGTATAATATCTTTCAACTTTAATATTTTAGTCAACACCTTACTCCAAAGTTTTATTTCCTGATAGCAGATATTTTGTTTTCTAACACATTTTTTCCTTTTTTTTCTAGTCTTTCAAAAATGTTTCATGTTCCTGCGTAATGGACTTAACCTTATAAGGCTAGTAATGCCTGCCGATCAAATGGGACTGTCTCTGAATCTTTAAACCTCCCAAGACCAAAGCAAGTCCTGCTTCTTTTAAAGCAAATGTCTAAAATGTATATATCTGTATTATATATATATGTATACATTAGTAGAAGCAGACGTTAGAATATACAGGCCAAACAGTGAACAATCCTAAATTTGTTTTTGACAAGGAAGGCTAGGACTCGTGTGCTGCATATGTTACATAGCTCAGTTTCACAGCCACGATTTCAGGGTGGGCACACTTGTGAGGACAACCCATCATCTTTTCCGTTCTCTGTGTTAATACAAAGCATCGCACCCAGTTGCTTTTGTTTACTGCCCCAAAAATCAGTGGCTTGACATTTTGTTAGGCAAATGTGTAATTGACAATCATCGTGATACCTCCGAATTCTTGATAACATTATTACAGAGGATAAAAATGCATGCCATTTTCCTTAATCATGTAGGGTATAATTTAAATCCTATCATTTACAAATTACCAACAAGGTCACACTTCAGTGCATTTTGATGTTAACTATAAGCTTATCTTTAAAATACATTTTTTACTGTGAATTAGGTGAAGGTTTACAGAGGAGCTACCAGATTTGTATCCAGCGACTCCTCCACGTGTTGTGTCAGCTCACTGACTGCGGTCCTCTCCGTGTGCCATCGCTCAGCCGCTTCCCCCTCGTGCTCTCCGTCTCCTCTCCTCCTTTCCTACCCGTCTGAATGTTGCCTTTGGGAACATCCTGCTGATTACTCTACCACAGGGCTGATTACTCTACCACAGGGGTGAGTTCAGTCCCAAACCAGAAGGGCGACCAAGGGCCATCGCCTGAGGGATCTCATCGGCTCTGTCCGACTAGTAAACTTGGTCCCTTTGATGATTCCGAGTTTGGGTTTGCATTTTCTCCCATGCAAGTTTATCTTTTCGTCATAAAGAACTAATCAATGCACAGCTGTATTTTGTGATTCCATAAAATAATCCCAACAAAAACTTAATCAAGTCTAAAAGTTTTCGAGTTTTTCATCTATATGGGTATGATTAAGAAACTGTGGTAGCGTAGTGGTTAAAGCAGGCAGTTGCTAACCGAAAGTTCATTGGTTTCAATTTGCCCGCCGCTCCACGGGAGAAAGATGTCACAGTTTGCTCCTGTCGAGATTCAGCCTTGAAAACCCCTGGGGCAGAGACGTCGGACAGGGTAAGATATGACAAAATAATAATTTATAGATTATCAAGGGTTCATGAGGGAGCGGGGAGGGAGGGGTAAAAATGAGGAGCTGATGCCGGGGGCTTAAGCGGTGAGCAAATGTTTTGAGAATGATGAGGGCAATGAATGTACAAATGTGCTTTACACAATTGATGTATGTATGGATTGTGATGAGTTGTATGAGCCCCTAATAAAATGATTTTTTTTTAAACCACCCTCTGGGGCAGTTCTACTCTGTCCTATAAGGAAGCTACACATTTAAAAGGACTCAATGACCATGGGTTGGTTGGTTGGTTTCTTTTTAGTTATGATGCATACCATTATGGAATTGAAACATATCAACTTCAGCTGACCCACACTTTGCTGGGGTTGTACAATTATATTAAGTGACAATGGATAGGGTCTTCTGTACATAGTTTTAATCATATATTATATCCTTTAAAGCTATGCATGTTACATGTAGAGTGAAAGCCCTCAACATGTTTCCCAGCTGCACATAATTTTATTCTCTTAAATACCTCCTTTCAAATATTAAAATTTTTATAACTCAAAATCACTAATAATGACATATCTATGTTTTTGGAAATCCATATAAATTTGTTTTGATACGTGCAAAATCATATTTTTAATGCCCTTTTTTTCTCCCTGCTCAGTGGCAGCGGTAGAAACCAACCAGTGACTTGGAGTTCTGTGAAGACATGCGCTCCCGGGATCTGCACAAGAGAAGGTGACTTTCAGAAAGACTTGCATTCCCTACCTTTAGATTCCCAGCAGCAGTCAGCACGGACTTCACCGCTCTCATTCCGTAATCATAGTGATGCTGAGAGGACAACTGCTCCGAACACAAGCGGTACGTGGCCACGATTTTGACCGACAGTGGCCGAGCAGTGACAAACCCACAGGAGTACAGAACAATCTCAGCAATCATGGCGTAATCAGGCACCATCATGGCCACTGTCCGGAAGAGGGCCTAGGGTCAAGGAGGAGAAGAGGCGCTTTTCAAAAGACCACGCAAAAGAGAACACGGCTCTTCACGTCTTACTTAATCACGTGATATCTGCGACAATATGCAATCACAATGTTCTTCATTCCCTGTCAATGTTCTTCACACAAAGGCAGTTTTGTCTTTCTGTGGTTTAGACAGAACTTCATGACATTTGACTTTAAAGCGCTTTCCTTAAGGATACCTTCCAATTTTATCACACTTAGATCTTTGGTGAATTACCAATTACTAAAAGTGTTAATACCAATTACTTTATATTCTTCGTGAGAAAGCCACGTGACATAGGGAAGAGAACCGCTGTTTACCAGAATGTCTGAAAGCCAGGCTTCCTAAAGGGGCTGCTGAGAAAGTGTGTGTGTTGGGGTGGGGTAGGCCCGAGGGACTGAGCTTCAAGTGAGGCACCACATGAATCTAAAATTTAAAATTGCATAATGTTCTCGGCTAATCAGGTAACTCCTAGTAATGAGGCCATGTTAGATATGTGAGATATTTTGAGGCATTCTTAAGCTTTTGAGTTTATGGGTACCATGTCCGTCTTTCAACAAGAATAGAAAACTGTAAAATAAGTTAAAGGCAATCATTCTAAGAAAATTTTTTCTCAATACAACTTTCCTCTAATTCCTAAATGTTTCCTCCCCGCTCCCACTACCATGACTCGAATTTGACCTTGCAAGTCTGGCTAGACCAGAGGATGTACACTGGTACAGATAGGAACTGAAAATACAGGGAATCCAGGGTGGATAAGACCTGCAGGACCAATGGTGTGGGTGGCGAGGCAGGGAGGGTAGAGGGAGAGTGGGTGGGAAAGAGGGAACCGATTACAGGGAAATATATGTGACCTCCTCCCTGGGGGACAGACAACCGAAAAGTGGGTGAAGGGAGACGTCGGACAGGGCAAGATATGACAAAATACCAATTTATAAACTATCAAGGGCTCATGAGGGAGGGGGCAGCAGGGAGGGAGGGGAAAAATGAGGACCTAATGCCGGGGGTTTAAGTGGAGAGAAAATGTTTTGAGAATGATGTACAAATGCGCTTTACACAATTGATGTGTGTATGGATTGGGATAACAGTTGTATGAGCCCCTAATAAAATGTTTAAAAAAAAAAAAAAAAGAAAAATTTTTCTCATGGTATTTTCTATACTCTGGGACAAATAAACCTCACATGGTGGTAAGAAAATAGGAAATTTAGTAGATTTTTGTAAGAATAAATATTACTATGGCTCTAAAATATTAGTATGGGTCAGGGCTCACTTCAATAGCTCATGTATTAAAATGTGAGCTTCTGGTAATAAAGAGTCAAAGGAAAAGAGCAATTCTAGAGGGGGGAAAAGCCCTGTAAAAAAAAACTGCAATCACATTTAGATAGTCTATAAAGACTTCCTGAGTTACCACAAAACAGAAGGCAGATATAAAATAGAAGCATCATGCTCAAATCATCTGTTATGACTCTTTGAACTTGGGAACAAAGAACAGATTTGTATCAATCAAGATCCTTCTAATATGTTATGTTCATTACTATCTAGAGGTCTTATTTCTGCTATTTTTACCAACAAGTTAGAATTGGGGAAAGAAGAAAATAAAATAATTTCCAATTTATTTAATTTGCTCTGTTTGTTTAATAGCATGAGGAAATAAATCGGAATAGAAGAGGTTTAATGCAAAAGGTCTATTCACTACATGCTTGAGGAATAAAGAATGCAAGAGAATTGCTATGCAGATGGTACTTCTTTATGGGTGGGTTGTCAATAACTATATTTTAGAATGAATAAAAGGTGGGATAAATGAATGAACACATCAACCAGTCAGTCAGGAGCTGGTTTAGGGTAACACAGTCTTTCTACAATACTGCAGCTCGCTACTGGCTTGGGGACAGCATCTAGTACTTGATGCCCCAGCTTCCTCCTGAACACCCCAGGCAATTCACAAATTCCTCCGCACATCCTTTCAACACTACTAACAATATAGTAGGAGCCCTGGTTCAAAACCACCAGCTGCTCCCTGGGAGAAAGATGAGGCTTTCTACTCCCCTTAGGAGCTACCATCTCAAAAACCCACAGGAGCAGTTCGACCTTGTCCTTAGAGTTGCCATGAGTGCGAATGGACTCACCGGCAGTGATTTGTCAGTGACAACACGGCTGGGGGACATTCCTTGTAACAGATAGGTGAATGACAAGGGACCCTAAAGCAGAGGGAGATTAAACTATCTCAGGAGGTTATCATGATATCTCACTTACTAGGCACCTTCCACCAAAGAGTTAATGATGCTGCTCATTTATCACAGATAAAAACATTCTGATCAAAAGTCTTTTCAGACCTAAACTGTTCTGGTGGTAAATGTTCCTATCCAGTACTGTAGGCACAAGGGCAGGTGACATGGTGATGTTTGATGATAGGGTTCAAGATGTGTCAGAAATAATTTCGTTCTAACAACAGCAAGTTTGGGAATCACTTAGTTAACATTGGACACTTTTAAGCAATGAAATACATTCTGGAGTATGAGGAAAAGCAACTAGACATCCAAGTGCCAGGCAGGAACGTACTGCACCCCAGCACACAGAAGTCCTGTGAGTGGTACCCTTCCTGCTTGTCTCAGCAGAATGGACGGCTGAGCAGAGTTCCTCTACAGCTTCCGGGGGGGGGGAGGATGCTATAGAAGGAACTAAGTATTTGTACTTCCTGAAATCTGCTTCTAAAGGACTGCATATCCTCACTGACATCTAGCCCATTCCAACGTCCACTGGCCCTCTAGGCCAAGTTCTGTCCAAGACAGTGAGACTGTGGGTGCGTCAACCACGAGTGGTCCATGCAGAGTAGGGCGTGAGAAACAGAGAAACAGAATCTGTCACCGGAGTCTCAGGAGTGAGAAGTGGAGAGACTTAGCAGAGGTCTCCCTGAAGAATCTCTAGGCAGGTATACTGTAGAAGGATTCAGCAATAGACCCTGCCAAGATGAATATAAATGTATCAGGTAGGAAAAAAGATGGGTTAAAGAGGTTAAAAAAAATAACCCACCAGCAGCATGTGTCCAGAGGCTAATGAGGCACAACGTGAGAGAAGACGCAGAGAAGGGTCAGGACAGCGGGACTCGGTCCTAAGACGCTCATGGATCATGTCCTGTAATCCAAACTTTACTTGCTAGGCAAAAAGGAGTGCAGCAGTTATTGAAGTTTGGAAATGGCATGATCAGATTGCTTTTGATACACTGTCATGCTGGCAGCACTGAGTGAGGCACTCAGTAGAGTGCCTTTCAGTGGGGAGACAGTGATGATAAACGGCCTCTCGCCACCAACAATGCAAGAGAAGAGGAAGGGCCGAGCCAGGCTGTGGTCGTGAGACTTAAGCGGGAGGCACTGGCAGACTTGTGAAGGAGTCTTCCTGGGTCAGTGGCTGACGGAACCTTCTGGTGAAGACATGGGCTTCATGATGACTCTGGAGATGGATACCACCCCCTGGCCCTAGCAGGCTTTTATTTTAGGAATCAGTAACTCAGAAGTAGAGTCTCATTTCAAGCAGCATAAATTCCATGTGCTTCCTTCATTTGAAAGTATATTCTCTCTCTCAGCACCTTGCTGTTATTGCTAGGTGTGGTCGAGTTCCTGCCAAACTCATATTAACCCAAGACACAGTGGAACTGGTCCTGCACGACTGTCCTGATGGTCCTGATGTTTGAGCCCCCTTGATAGTCCCATGTGTCAATCCTTCTTGTTAAGGGTCTCCCTCTTTTTTGGCTGACCCTCTACTCCCCAAAACACGTCCTTCTCTCAGGACGGGTCCCTCAGTTAACATGCCCAAAGCATGTGAGATGAAGTCGCTATCCTGGCTTTGAAATACACTTGGGTTGGACTTGGTTCAAGGCAGACTTGGCTGTTCTTCTGGTGGTCCACTGTGTATTCAATAACTGTTGCCGACACCGTAATTCAAAGCGTAACACTAGTCTTCAGTATTCCTTATTCAGCTTCCACATGCACATGGGACAATTGAAACTATGACGGCTTGCGTCAGGCACACCTTGTGACTTCAACGACCATCTTTGCTTTTGAACACCTTGAAGAAGTCTTTGGCAGCAGATTTGCTCAGTGCATCATTGGACTTCCGGAATTCAGCTTGTATGGGTTTTGATTATAGAGCTAAGTAAAATAAAACCCTTGATAACTTTAATCTTTTCTCCGTTTACCATGATGCTGCTTACTGGTCCATTTGTGAGGATTTTTGTTTGCGGTATGTTGAGGTGTAATCCATATCGAAGGCTATCATCCAGATTTGTCAACTCTTCTTTGACTTCTTTGATATTAATTAGTAGGTGCTTCCTCTTCACTTTCAGAAAGCAAGGTGCTGTCATCTGCATAGCACAGGCTGTAAATGAGCCGACCCCCAATCCTGATGCCATGTTCTTCAGCATAGCGAATGACTTGCTCAGTATATACACTAAATAAATATGGTGAAAGGATACAACACTGAAGCACACATTTCCTGGTTTAAAACCATGCAAAATCCCCTTGTTCTGTTAGATGGACTACCTTTTGGTCTATGTACAGGTTCTGCATGAGCACACAGCCCCTATTAGCTGCTGTTGAGTCAGTTCTAACGCATAATGAATCTGTACAACAGAACGAAATACTGTCCATTTCTGCACCACCCTTACGAGTGTTACTATTTTGAGCACATTGTTGCAGACGCAGTCTCAGTCCATCTTGTCCTGAGCGTCCTCTTTCCCATTGACCATTGACTTCAGCAAGCATACTGTTCTTTTCTGATAACATGCCTTTTCCGGTACTTTCTTCTTTAAGCTAAAGTCTATGTAGTATCCGAAATTATATAGACCTTGTTCCACATTCTCTTCTGAATCTGGCTAGAATTTCTGGCAGTTCTTTGTTGATGTATTGATCTACAACTGGTTTTGAATTATCTTCAGCAAAATTTCACTTGAGTGTGATATTGATAATAATGTTCAATAATTCCTGCATTTGGTGGTATCAGCTGTATTTAGGACGGGAACAAATGTATGTCCAGTTGATAGCCGTCTGCCAAATTTCTTTGCCTAGATGAGTGAATGCTTCCAGTGTTGCATCTATCTGTTGAAACATCTCAATTGGTATTATGTCAATATTCCTGGAGTTGTGATTTTTGCCAATGCTTTTAATGTAGCTCGGACTTCTCTCAGCTTTTGAACCTATGCTACCTCCTAAAATGACTGAACACCAGCCGTTCCTTTCAGCACGTGACTCTGAGCATACTTCTATGGGAAAGTGCCACCTTAAAATTCCAAGTGGCAATATGGAGCTGTTTTCTTTCCAGCCTTGGATAATACTTCGAAATTATTTGACATATGCAGATGACTTGAAAATGGCTAAATGTCCCTAAAAAGATGGGACATTCTCATGCTACAATGCCAAGGGCACAAAACTGTTTGATTTAAAATTTTACATTTTTTGCGGGGGAGATAGCAAGCATTCTAATGGATATCTAGCAAGCATTCTAATGGATATCTATTAAGTATTTCCTATATTTTAATTGCTTACAATTAGTGCTATTTTAATAATATAAATATGGAAGTTGCATCTAGTGTCTGTATTTATTTATTTATTTATTTATTTGTGTGTGTGTGTGTCTGTATTTATTTTATAAAGGTTCTTTTTTTGTTTGTTTGTTTGGTGTGTTTTTTTAACATTTTATTAGGGGCTCATACAACTGTTATCCCAATCCATACACACATCAATTGTGTAAAGCGCATTTGTACATCGTTTCTTA